ATACAAGAAAAAATGACAAACTTTTTATTTTCCAAGCCCTCCCCCCCAAGATCTCAAATGGTTCACCCCTAAAGGCTGACTCAGACAGCTTCGACGTTCACTGACGAATACGGATGTCGCGTCGCTTCAGTGTGAGTTGTCGCAAAACAAGACGACCTGTGTTTAATATTTTAGACGAGACGTTCGTCCCCGCATTCGCAGTTGAAGATGGCGGTCTCAGAAGATTTCCCTGTGACGTCGAGCGAGGTTGTCTGAGTTCAGCTTAAATGACCATCACTTTCGACGACAAGGACGACCCGGGATCGTGACCGCTGTTATTAAAAAAATCGTGAAGAAGATTAAATATTGAGAAAAATTTTATTGATCGACAACCTGTAACCTGACCTGTAACCTGCGCTTTGTTGCTGCCGCGCTGAGTAAAGTCCTGTAGGTTGGCCTTCTTCCGCTGATCATTTGGCTTCCACAATCGCATAGACCGGAAATTCAACACTATTGTGAAGGAATGTATCGGGCGATTTAAGAGGCATTCAGCTTTGCAGTTAAAAAAATAGGCAGGTCGATACTCTAACTATTACTTAACTGGAAACGAAATTACATAAGATTTCCCAATAGGGTCGATCAAATCGACAATCGAAAATATACACCGCCATCTTGCTCTTGACGTATTTATTAACAAACCGTTGTTTTGTTGCGTAAAACTAGCTTTCTCCAACGTTCCAGTACTATAGGTTCATTTTTCAGCCACAAAAAAGGTATTTGTGATCGCTGGATTGGTCGATAGATGTTTTAGCTGGGTACAATCATGAAAACTGCAGAGTGGTTCTCCACCATAAATCCTCGGTCTATGCGACTTCTCAAGACTGTGGGGGCTGAATGATCAGCGGAAGGAGGCCAACCTACAGGACTGTACTTAGGGCTAGTCTGATAAGTGAGTGTTTGTGCCTTCATAACGATTGTGTACATTTATGCATCCTCTTAAAAATGTTTGGCCAGTCTTTGCTTTCTTTTTAATCTTCCAGTGATAATATATTAGACTGTTCTGATTTGATTTGCAGAACAAGAAATATTATGTGGCTATACAAGAAGCTGTAAAAATAATCCATGAACGCGGAGAAAAGGCACATGTACTTGATATTGGTACCGGTACAGGACTTCTATCTATGATGGCTGCACAGGCTGGCGCTGATATGGTTACTGCTTGTGAGGTAACTTCATCTATTCAGTATGGAAACTGGCATTTTGTTCTGTTATTTCAAAGTCTTTTTGTTAAGAGATTGTAATTGTTCTAAAAACTATGTATTTAATCTTAACTGATAGGATGGATATAATATAGCGCCCTCTATGTTATTTCTAAGTCCCTCTATAGACCCAGAGTTCTTCCTGGGGTTCCCAACTGTTTAATTTTAGATAAACAATAGATCCAATTTAGCATAACAATGAATACAATAAAGGTGATTAACATATATTATGTAAATTAGCTGATATTCTATTCTAATTTTCTAGGGAGAACACAGACTGATTGTGATCTCTTGATACATATTGCCAAAACCTTTATTTGTGTGCCCATAAAGGAGTGCACTGTCTGATTATATATCTGGTTTTATTGTAGGCATTTGTACCTATGGCCCATACTGCTGTCAAGATAGTCAAGTTAAATGGCTTTCAGGACAAGATAAAAGTTGTTTCCAAGAGATCAACAGAAATGATTGTTGGTCCAGGTAAGTGGTGATACCTGTTGATTGGCCAGGAGGAAATCACATGATACGGTTTCTTCTGATTGGCCAGGACATCACACATTATCAGTACCTACTAAATACAAGCATTGATACATCTGACAAAACAAATTATTATTAACCTGTTTTACCCTAAAAAATTAGTTGTTCATTTGATCTTGTATGGTGGCAATTTTTTGAATAGCTTTGGTCTCTAGCTCTGGCGTTCTCAAGGTATTTTTTATATTTTTTTTAATTTTAAAACTGAAAAAAGATGTGTTTTTTTTATGGCATTTTTTTTTTGAGTCAGTCAAAAAATTTGATCTTTGTGTATGAGGAAGGTGGGAGATGTATGGTTCTACATAAAATTACTTTAATTGTTGGCAGCAGTTAGGCCCTAAGGACTACCCGGTACTGTATTGACCATACTGACCAATAGTGTTAGCAGTGAATTTAAATCAACTAACACCACTTGAAGAGCAAAGTCCACACTGATTAAGAATGACTGATTGATGTCAAAATATCTATCTAGAAAATGTTTTTCCAAATTGATTTCTGAAAACAGTGCCCTCTTTGGTTGTGTTTGATTCTTGCAAAAAGATTGGCTTCAGGTTGTATTGTAAATGCACCATTTTTTTTTACGGTAGTGCATAATGTCTGCTGATACGTTCTCACTCTGTCTCATAAATGATATTGAATTCTTAACAGATGGGGATATGCCATTCAAGGCTAATATACTGGCAACTGAAGTATTTGACACTGAACTGATCGGTGAAGGAGCTCTCCCCACGTACAAGCATGCTTTAGAACACTTGCTTGAGGTATGATACATTTTATGGAGGTTTATTTATACTTTCAGTAATGTCGGTATAACATGCTATGCTATTTGGAAAACAATTTGGGTAACTGGACAATTTTTGTTTTGATTTCTGTGATGAATGTATTTTTTCATATCTCAAAAAAAAAATCAAATACTGAGCCGCAAAAATTGTACTTTATTACAGAAATTAATCCAAACAATAATATAAATTTTCCCGTTATATTCCCATTTGATTCAATGGGATAGGGAACATGTGAAATCATACAAGTTAGGCTAAACTTTCTCAACCTTTGATTACATAGTTTAATTTGAGACAAATTCAGTTTTTGTCAGTGTGCAAACATATTTCAATTTTTTTTCAAACACCACTATAATTCTGAATGATTCCCTTTTCCTCACAAAGATGTGTGTTCTGTAATTCAGTTTTCATTCAAAAATAATCTACATACAGCAAGAAAATTGGAGAAAATAGTGGAAATGCTACTCTTTATAGAATCTTTGGATTGTTCTGTTGAGCACCGTTCACTTTCAGAAAATATGCATCTCATTTTTTGTTACAGGATGATTGCATTACAGTTCCCAGTTCAGCTACTGTCATAGCACAGGTTGTAGAATCTGAAATGATCTGGAAATGGCACAAACTTCTTCCAATCAAACTGCCTAATGGCGATGACATCATACCTCCAGCAGACATGGAAAGCTGTCCAGGAGCACCTTCAGTACATGATTTTCACCTTGATGAATTGAGATGTGACCAATTTCAGCCAATCACAAGGCCTGTTGAGTTATTACATTTTCCATTCAACAAGTATAATATACAAATGCATAGGAGCAATACGGTTGAGGTGAAAGTACTGCAAACTGGTAGATGTCACGCTGTTTTCATGTGGTGGGATTTACAAATGGACACTAAGGGTGAGGTGCTCTTAAGCACTACACCATACTGGGCCATGCCAAGTAAAGATGAATGGCCACAATGGCGGGATCATTGGATACAGGCTGCATATTATCTGCCAAAAGCAGTTTACTTTCAAAAAGGTAATCACATTCTAAGAAGCCACAACAAAGCATATGTTCATTGGGTTTTAAGTTTAGTGGTTTTGATGTATCATGAATGTTCACTAGGTTTCAGGTTTTCCTATTGTTAACTTTGCATATTAACTGGGTTTTAATTAAGTGCATTTATGATTTATGTATCAGCAAAATAAACAAAATTAAAACCCAGGTACTAGTAATAAACAAGCCCTGTACAATGTGTTGACTGTACTACTTGATTCTGTCAATGATCACCCCTGTATAATCGGTCATCTTGGCCACAAGCTACCGATATCATGTGAACTTGTAATCGATTATTTGTAATGTATTGCTATGTTTGTCTAGCGAAAAATTCTCAAAAAATTTCATATATATTTTTCAATTTTCTGCATCCTACTTGGCAATAACTGAGTGATAGAGCTCTTGAGAGTAAAAATCTCCTTGAAGAATATATCCTGTATTAAATGACTTTCTCTTTCTACTTCAGATGAAACTTTAAGATTGAGCGGCAGCCATGATGATTACTGTATTTGGTTTGATGTCAAACAGGTAGACGACTCTACAGTGACTGATGAACGACCGATATGTGAGTCCCTGGCCAGTATGGTATGGAGTCGACAGCGCATTGGTATGTTGAATGATGAAACACGACAACAGAAATATACTAAAGTTCTCAGACAGGTAGGAATTTATTATATAAGGCCACTGCAGGCAAATTCACTGTACTGTCATGTCCCTTAATGCGACCTCTCACCAATGTAATTTTATGTATTAAAACACTTTTAATTTATTTATACTTTGCATGATTATATTTGGTCTACGCGAAACATTAATCTTTCTAAACATTTTCTGAGACCATGCATGATGTATATTCACAAAATAATGCAATCACAGTTTTATATTATGTCATTGTGGATTGCTTTGTGATTTCATTCCAAGGCTCAGGCAAAATAAAATAGTGTTCTTCTGCCAACAATTATAGACTAGTTTCCAAGCCTTTGGCTCAGCCAAATTTATTTAATTTTTCATTGGAACTTTGTGATCCTTTTAATTTTCCAGTTCTTTGTGTTCATTCATGATCATGACAATAAGTGTGAATTGCCGTGCGAGCCTACCATACATTGCCGTGGTCAGCCGGCATCATGGAATCTATGCATACATTTGCATAAACCGCGGTCGACCTGCGACTGCCAACCTCCACCGTGGTGATGTCCGCAGTGCATCGCCCCTTTGATTTCCTACTTTTCCCTTAATAAGATTACCCAGATAGGAAGCTGATTTGAAGCCTAATGATTATGTAAATTTTAACAATGAAATGTATTTTTTTATTTTCCTGAATATTCATGAAACATCAGATTTACTAAAATAAATCTTTGTGAATATATCTTCCTCTACAATGCACTATAATACCAACTTTAGTGTATTTAAGCACTTTTACCTTACATAGTGATTGGTAGTTCGAACGCCTGCTTAAAAAGGTTTTACCTTTTGAACCATTTTATCAAGTGTAATATTAAGAAAATGTCTTTCATTTTTTTTTTTTTAAAAAAAACAACAACTTAGTGCAAACTTTATTATTTACAATTATTAGATAGTTGTTTTCATTCATTTTATCTGACAAGATTTGATAAACTGTTAAACCATGTAAAGCTAGCTTGCATTAACTGAGAAACCTATGATGACCTTGTGTTGTCTTTGTTTGTTTCTTTTGACAGCTTATCAATGCTGATTCTCTTGTCTTGTCCGTCAGTGACAATTCCTTGCTGGCATTGATGGCTGCAAAGCTTGGCGCTAAAAAAGTAAGTAACACTAATGGGTTTCATCATACATGTCTCTTTATTTTCTAGTGTTCATTGTTGGGAATTCAAATATCAAAGACAGGGACTATGTCATTATACTGTAGTAACTCTTTATTTATAGGTGTTTACAGTTGAGAATAGGTCTGGATCACATGGTGTCATTGATGTTATGGTCCGGGAAAACAGTCTACAAGATAAAGTGAAAATTCTCAACAAAAGAGTGGAAGACCTGATAGAAGAGGACCTCGAAGATCAAAAGGTCATATAAAATTCACCTTACTCAGTTACATATTTCACCTCCATTGTCAAATTTGTTGAATTGTGTCATATTCTTTGTGGCAAAATCAGCAGGCATTATAAATATTCTGATTTGGTAAAAACAATATCAAGAAAATATGAATTTTTTCATCATTGAACTCTAGTTCATTAGACAGAGTAAATAATGAAAACACAACAATTCTTTCTGCCAAATATTTAAAGTAAATGCTTGCTCAGTGTGAGTTTTAATTTCATCGCATGGGACACAGAAGCAGTTTGCCATCTGTCATATGTGTTGGTATTGATGTGATTTTCACGCACGTTTATTTCTGTAGGTCAGTATTGTGATTGGTGAGCCATATTTTATGAATTCTGTCGTACCTTGGCATAATATCTATTTTTGGTATGCGAGGACCAAATTAGACCCATACCTCACACCTGATTGTCAAATAACACCAAGACTGGGATTATTGAGGGCCATTGTTGTTGAGTTTGAACATCTGTGGAAGATTAGAGCACCTATTGGTGAACTGGAAGGTTTTGATGTATCGCCATTTGATGAATTGATTCAGGTATGTATTTATAAGTGTAAACATATCTTACTCTGAATGCATACAGTTTAACATATTTTTCAGTAAGAGCCATACAAACCTTGTAAAAAAAAAATCATCATAATACCTAGACACCAGAGGGCAGCCTTTAAGTCTTTTTTTTTGCCATTACTCAACCTGTTCACTTTGAACCAAAAACAGGACGTTGAAGTTGTATAAAGTAGGTATGTTATTAATTATATATATTTTATATTTTATTGGCCATATCATTACATTTTTGTATGAAATAAGTACATTAGACTGGCAGGAAAATTTATTTGAATAAAGGAATCAAAATATTAAGAAATGCGTGTGATATCACTGAGTTTATTTATTTTTTTCTATTTTGTCTGCCAAGATGGCTGCCAATTTGAAAAGTCATTGTGTTACATGTATACAAAAAAAAACTACCACACATTTCAAACCAACATTTTTTTTAGTTTTTTGACCACATTAAGAATATTGATGAGAAATCATCAAAATTTAAACATTTCTAGCAGCAAAAAATTTTAGACTGGCAAAGTCAGGACTTCTTTTTTGTTTTACAAAAAGAAATAATTGTTTTAAGTCCTTTTAGCGTGATCGCTAAAACAAACGTAAATGTGAAAGAAATCTCGACTGGACGCATCTGCAGGCTTTTGACTGCTATTAATTATTTATGACTGGGTGTGTGAAAGTAAACATGACCTTTTAAAGGTTGGGTCACATTGCAAATGGCGGACTAGTCATGGAAACATGCGACTGTTCTGCTGCTAGTCGTATCTTGTAGTTTAGAGCTGAAAATGTAGCTGACACGGGATAAACTGTTGTAATTTAGTGTAGTGTAAGTTAGAATTCACTATCAAAAATGACAACGGAAATGTGATTCAAACATCGGGGCTGCACTCTGATTCGTTGTGAGTGCTAGTCAACAACTTTTAACTAACATATTCACCAAAGTGATTCCGCTCTGGTTTCCACTCCAACACAGGGGGTCGCCTGCAGATGCGTTTTCGCAATCATGCTAATAAGGCTAAATTGACAATTAATTTTTTTTTTTTTGTAAAAAACAAAAAAGATGTCCGACTCTGCCAGTCTACAAAAATTTAGGTGGTTTTCAGTATAACACAGTAATCTAATTGCATGTACATCTATTTCATTTGTAGAAATCTATGGAGTACAGTGACCGTGGAGCTGAACCACATCCGTTATGGGAGTACCCATGCCGACCTTTGACCCAAGATATTGACCTCTTGAACTTTGACTTTAGTAAAATACTCACAGAGAAAATGCTCAGGACATCTGGCAGTGTTGCCTTTCAAAGGTAAATATGACAATCTAATGAAAACACAAAATTTTGAATAAAACAGCTGGCCTTACCACCGGCCTCAGTGCTTGTAGTTCATTGCAAGCTTTGTTTTTGGTTCATTACTGATTCAATATGTATCCTGTGAGTGTGAATTCATAATTGTTAATTCAATAGCTCAGACTTGCTGTTGTCAAATATATGGATTTCAGCCATTCTAATGACCAACTTTTTCAGTAGTTGAGGAAGAATTTTGTCTCCTCGTCAAATTCAGGTTTATTTACACACATCTGCTGACAATAAATGTAGTAGGTTAGCAAGTTACGTAATGTTTATAATAGTGGTTTGCACTTACCATACAAGTGCATAGCATTTAGCAATCTGTATCAAAGGAAAGTGTGAGTTCATGGGATTAAATTATCTAGAATTCTTTATTATTTAGAGAATGACAATTCATTCGAGTTGGTTAATAATTCTGAGTTAAAAACGATGGTGAATTTAGCATTCCAGTTAAAGTAGTGCCATCTCCTACATATAAGGAATATGCCATTATCATGTGCATAGTATTTCCTCATTGTAAGGCTGGATATCGACGCTCGCATCACTCTATTCAGAACCATATTTTCCTATGCAATAACTATAAAGTGTTGATGTTCTCTAGTTCTGGTACGTGTCATGGTGTAGTATTATGGATGGACTACAAAGTAGATGATAACACTACCATACAAACAGGGTTACTCGACTCACCTAGCAATTACCAAGACAAACTGAACTGGGATCCCCACTCGCAGCAAGGTGTCTATTTCTTACCGGAGAATGCCAAGATAAACATAGACACTCAACAACCAAGACTGGATTACAACGTAACATTTGAACCCAACACTGGCGATGTACAGTTATATTTTAAAGTTGTATAAACATATCTAAGTTGGCAAAATAAGTAATACCATACTTACTCCTACTACTGTAAAATATTTTATTTTTGTTTGGAATTAATTTTCACTATTTTCGCTGAAGGGATGATATATACCCCCAGATTTTACATTCAACTTGTGAAAAATCAGTGAAAATAAATTGCATACAAAACACCCAAAAGTTCTTTTCATCAAAAATTAATTGCAGCTAAAAAGTATATTACAGTATGATATCGACAATATTTGATCTACAAGCGAGTTAAAGCATTTAATCAATGCATCAAATCTTGCTTTCGACAGTAATCCCTACATGTATTTGACATTCTCCGTTATGATTGGATGCCATTCAGTGCAATTCAACTGCTATATGCTCTATACATAACTTTCTTGCAGTCAGTTTAAGGTTTCTTTGTTGCTGTGGATGCATGCAAGATATAAAATCACTATTAGTTCTGCTTCTCACAATATAACTCATGATATTTCCAGTATTACCCATAAATGTGTATTTAGTCAGAATTGTGTGAATATGTACGGTGGTGAGATATGCAGAAGAGGATTGTTGTATCGATTTCAGTATTTACCATTAGTATTAATATAATACTTTGATGATTTCTAATATTAGGATATAAGTTGTATAAATAAGTTTAAAGAGATCTGTCAAACTGTGACACAGGACTAGGGTTACATAGAATTTTTTGCAAATATTTAATTCAGGTGCTTCAAATTTTTTTATATTTTTTTAATACAAGTATTTTTAATATGAAATCAGTTTTTAAGTTCATTAATTGTTCTTGCTAGTGATTATGTTAAAATTCTAATATGCATTGGTACATGTATGAATGTGCGAGAAACAATCCTTCTATCAGATTCAATTATGGACATGTATTTATAATTGTTAGATTTCTTTTTTAAATGTCATCAGTGATAATCCTTTAATATATAACAAAGGGTTCATTTCCAAGGGCATGGGGCATGTATGATCTCATGAGGCATTTTATACGGCTTGAAAAGTATACTGTAAAATATTTTTTTTTAGCTTGAATTAATTTTTTGCTGAATAGGCTTTTTGGGTGTTTTGTATGGAATTTATTTTCATGGATTTTTGACTAGTTGTATGTGAAATATAGGAAAAAAGGTATATTTGCTGGATTTTATTTTCATTAAATCATCCCTTCAGTGAAAATTTTAAACAAAAATAAAGTATTTTACAGTATACTGTATGCACACATTGATAACAAATTAAAAGGTTCAAGTCAAAGGTGTATGTTACAACTGTATCTGCAGGACAAAAAGAAATATGCAATGTGTTGACAGACATCATTCTCCTTGCTGCTTTATGTGAAAGTAGTTATCTAGAGATTTCCCAAAGTGGGCAACTAAATTTAGAAAGTATCATAGTAGGCCAAAATGTACCACTTTTATTAAAGGTTGTACAAAAATACAAAGAAGCCAGCTGAACATGCCAAGTAGACATCTATTGAGACAACGACTGCCTAGTCAACGGCTGTAGAGTCAACACGTGTAAAATCACCAAGTGATATGTGTGTGTGAAGTAGAACATTTCCTGCACATCCTTTGCTGTTAGATGTACCTGCATGATCAAATGAATAGCGAGATAAATGTGGATACAAAGTTAGAAACTAATGTGACGCCATCCACACACTGCCATTTTCTGTTCACCTTGGTTCAGTAGATCAAGGTATGCAGGTAAAAAGACGAATATCAGTAGTCATTAAGTCTTGCAGACATTTTAGTCAATTTGATACGTGTATAGTGATACCAATAATAATCCACACTGAAAAATATTGTTCTGCATTTCATAAAATCTGCACTGATCAATGGCTTGCATGCATACCAATCTGTTTAAAATATCTTTTTGTGAGGATTTTTTATTACCGGTATATTTTTTCATTGTATTCATTTTATTTCATAATTTTTATTTAGCATTATCTTTATATTTCACCATTCCTGGGGATTTGCTGATGAGAGGAAAAAAATAAAGTGACACTTAAAAAAAATGAAAAGGAGAGAAGAATAACCTCACAAGAATCTTATTTTAATCAGACTGCATGAATTTCAATGTCCATGTATAATTATGTTTATAATTGTAAAATTCTTCCAAGACTAATAAATAACACCAGTTTATTTACAAATCTTTATTTGCGTTGAAAGGTTTGTTTTATATAACATGACATGACATAGTCCGTCTGTTTTCAATGTAAGTTCATTTGAAACTACTATTACAGATTTGAATAAAATGTGTCTATTCACAACCCTCATCCAGTTGGTGAAAATGTTTAATTTTCATGACGTTTTCAGTTTTAACATTGACATCATTTAACACAAAAGTGATTTGAATTGAATTCATATTTCTCAGTATCTGTTATATATTTTTTATGTCAGATGCAGCTGTATTAATTGTTCCAGCAACATTTTTGTTTGCCTCGTGTCCTGCAGTGCAGAAGCATCTTCTACATCAGTTTGTTGACACTAGAGGGCACCACACACTCTGGCATCAGACTTTGTAGACCAAAATTCTGGTCATAGTTTCTGATTATTGTAGAAGTTTGTTTGGTAGCCCATTTTCATTCAGCAAACTGGCTTCATTTGGTAGTATCTGAGGTCCTTGTCCCACCTTTGTTGATATTACATATTTGATTGCTCCTGGACTTGGTTCAAGTGGCACTACATCCTTGAGTTCCTAGAATAACCAAGAAATCAGTTTTTGTTAATTATTGGAAGATGTACCATTTCCAATCATGTGTTTCAAGCTCCCTATTGGATGAGCATTTGTTATTAATGTCACTCACTCTGACATAGCTCTCTCAGATTTTAATCGGTAAACATGTCAGCCACTGACATTCCTGGACTAAGTTCTGCATGTTTGATGAGTTAGACAATGCAGACATTCAAGAAATTGTTGACAAATGTTGAGAATGTGGGGTGCGGTGCGTATTCATTTTGAAAGGATACGTTGTATGTTTGTGGATTTCCTGTCTACAGAACTGTGCTGCTATTGACTGTGTAGAACTGAATTTAGAGCTGCAAATTGCTTTTATATTCTGTCTTTAATACTCAACACCGTCTCGAGAAGACTATTGTGGATACAGATGCAGCTTTCTGTGAAAGCAAGTTACTTTATTAAAAAGAATGGAGACTTCCTCTGTTTTTTATGTGATGAGCAATTGAGTTCATGTTGCAGTACAATTTACTCTCATTAACTGATTTGAAGAGCTGCTTTTTCGACAGCGATAACTTTACTACTGTAAAATGACTAATTTTCACTGGGTTTAAATTTCACTGATTTGCCATTTTAGGCATATTCAGTGGGTTTTAAATTCATGGTTTCGTCATTTAGATAATGTGTTTTATGCTAAATTTTACATATTCACTGGGTTTTAATTTAGCACATTTTCCAGTCAGCGAAATAAGCAAAATTAAAACCCAGTGAATAATTAATCCTTTTACAGTATTCAGCTTACTTGGCTTATATCTGTTTTGAAATCCACTTTCAATCCACGGATGAACGTCTCTCTAATATTATCACATGGAGGGAAATAATAATTAATTAAAGACACAACATCAGGTACATGTTCATCCAATAAATACAACACTGCGTTGGGTCCTGCATCATACGTATAGGCAACCTGAAACAAGACAACATAATGTCATCAATAATTCACTCTTTCAAAGATAATAATTAATAATTAATACAAAGAAAATCATTAAATATTCATGTGGATAAAAAGTGGAATGATTGATTTCATGATATCACGATTTTGTGACTCATTAAAATATCTCCAATAATTTTAAAGCAATTTACAGTAACTCCTTAAAGGGTCAGTGTACCGGAATAAAACTCATAAAATCTACCATGGACTATATTACCGGATTCTGCCGTAAATTGGCCCTGGGCCGTTAAACGACAGTTTGAGTTTTAAAAAAAAGGGCAATTTTTAGGCAGTTTTTTTAAAAATATTTTAACAATTTTTTTCGGACATTTCAATCTTTCCTGAAGAATTTTGAACCCCAAATAAGGGCCCACCAGCCGTGAAATCGCCCAGGGCGACTTTCTGGATGGGTCACGTTTACAACAGAATTCGGTATATGCATCTCTGCAGTTTACTTTGTATTAAAGTAAAATTTTAGTCATTGCTATTTCTGATTTCAAATCATTTGTACAAACATTCACCTGCTGAGCTTATTAACTTTTTCACCACCAGATTTCCTCACCCAATTTTTTTTGCACTTTTTTCTTAGATTCAATATTTCTAGAAATGAACCTTGATTATGGAGCCAACAGACAAATTTGAGTTGATTTTCAGTTTTTACACAAACAAATTTGCTATCTTCTGAAGCAAAGTGCAGACGATAAACAGGACTTTTTTGTAAATTTGTTATGAAAAGAGGAAACCGGTGATGAAAAGGTTAATACTGTGGAATACTTTATTTTCACTGGAATTAATTTTCGCTGAAAAGGCTTTTGGGCGTTTTCTATGGAATTTATTTTCACTGATTTTTGATGAGTTTAATGTGAAATATAGGAAAAAAAGTATATTCGCTGGATTTTATATTCACGGAATCATCCCTTCGGCGAAAATAAATTCCAAGTGAAAATAAAGTATTCTCCAGTACAAGTTTTTATTAAAATTGCTACAATACCACACAGTGTAAATGTCACTAACATGTCTTATATGTAAAGCCTGCAGCTACTTGTAATATTCAGTGAATAACCTTTAATTACAATTATAACGACCTAAAGGTCACACATCCTGGAACTTTCTCTAGTTAGTATGCGAGACTCAATTAGCACATGTGGCAATAGAGCTCAAGGCACTATTGTGGACCATTTTTAATTTTAAAATTCCAGGGGTTATATTGCATCTAAATGTTTCAAAAAATAATTATTCAAATAAATCGTAGGTATAAAGTTTTAAAAATAACTTTCAATGAATATGAATTTGTCCTTTATAAAATACCAGAATGCATGACCTTTAGGATGTCACACATAATGACTAAATGTATTTCCTTCTATTTACCTTAAGTTCACCTTGATATTTATTAAATGCATGTATCATATTGATAATTTTTCTAGACGTATCATTCATATATGATATCGGGGGATATGTATCGAGACAGACTGCATGCATCTGATTGCTGTCCTGAAAGTGATTAAAAGATAAATCATTATTATTTGGAGAAAATACTCAATATAATATTACAGCATATCATGTATATTTGAATCAAAAACTTATTTTTTGAGCATAATTTCAGATTCAGATCAACAAATTTATTCTGTCTGTAACATTTTACAAATAAAGATGGTGAGCCGAATACAGGGACAGCTGCATCTGAGTCCCGGTGTTTTCTTGTAATAATGTTCAATCAGTTTGGAAAAATTGACGAATGATGATTTACTGCTTCAGTTGAGCCTTTTTGATGGACACCCTCTAGTGAGCTGATGTGGAATTCTTTTGTTTTTCCCCAGAAATATAACACATCACCGTAATAGTGAGTCTACCCAGTGCAGTCAGTACCACTTTAATAAGGGAAAAATATCAGGCTGCAATTTATAATTGCTGTAAAAAAATCTTCAATCCACAAACAATAATACCAAAAATCACAGAATATGGACTCAAGATCTGGCTCGAATCATCATATTTAGGGGCCCAAATATGACAAAATAGAACCACTCTTATCAGACAAACTAGGTGAAAAACTTAAAAGTAGTCCTTTTATTCCTTTTTTTCATAATAAAACCATACCCTCCAAAACTCTCATTCAAAATTTGCAGGTGGCATTGGTATAGCTGAGAGGTGCAGATTTTGGTTTATGTTACTATTTTGAGTACCGGTATTACTATTTTAACAATGTTTCAAACCCCAAACCATGGCAAAACAAAAACTTCTGAAATATACTGTATACAGACCCCTTATCTAACCCCAATTTTTCTTCCATAATTGTATACCAATGTTCCTAAATTATTGCACTCAAAACTTGTGAATTTAAAAATGGAGTTCCTATGACAGGACTATCATGCACTTTTATACATGTACTACACCAATCTCATAGAGAAGTAATTTTCACATGTATAATTTCTGTGGCAAATTTGCAAAATAAAATACATGACTTTTTCCAGTTATAGTGGTGTGGATATATTCACCTTAATAGTAAGTTCAGCAAATTTCTGATAATCTTTTTCTTCAATTGCTTTTATCATCTCTTCCATTCTGCTTGGTACGACATGTTCAGCCCTGTAGCGTAGGAAGTCACTCGTGTTGACACTATTTCTCATCCCGTTTGTACTACTCGTGTGCTTTTTTTGATCACTCACCTACAACAAGAGAACAAACTTTTTCAGTTTAATTACAATTACATGGACAAAAGTGACGACACAAGGGCAACAAGTCATTGTCAATGACACGTCCCCGTTCCGTTCATATTTGAGTGACATATACATTCAAAGCAGATCATGATCGAAATGCACCTGCATATGTACAACACATTGTGCTAAATCTGAACAAAATCCATCCATGCATGACTGAGATCCGGTTCTGGAATTGTGAAAATACGTGATTTTGATGCATTTTCGGCCTTAAAATGGCCATCATTCCACTATTGTTAAGCAGATCATGAAACAAATGCACATATCTATTTGTGACATGATGTACCATGTGTGTGTGAAGTTTGAACTTGATCAATCCAGACATGTCTTGATACGGATCCGAACTGATTATTTACAAATGGCCGCCAGTCGCATTTCGACTTGATCGAAAA